CTGCAAAGCCGGGCTGCGTGGACGTCGGGAGAGTGACCCGGACAGTGCGCGGACGTGGGGACACCGGCCAGCGAAGGGGAGGAGGCCCATGGGTCAGAAAGAGCTTGGCGGGCCGAGGGGGACCCGGGTCCAGATCAAACTACCCACCGACCGACCCCCTTGGAGGGAGCTGACGGGTTGACCTCTCCCTGGGGCAGAGCCTGCGGGCCTACTCCCTGCCCTGCCCTGCACCGGGGAAGGTGGGAGGTTTGTCGTGACCAGATTGTGGCAGCTCAGGAGACTGCTGTGCTTGATCCGAGAGGAGACAGTCAGGCCCCAAATGGAAAATGTATAGGAGATAAAATAAGAGCTCCCTACAGCTCGGTGGGCTAAAGGCAGCGCCAGCTGGAGGTGCAGCTCTACTGAGATATCTCTCAGTCAGCCTGCCATGCCCTCAGTTACAGTAGGAGGCTCAGAACTGGGAACAGACCAAAAGCACTAGGTGAGAACAGCTTTAAAGGGGATAGTGTCAGTACGGTGGCACACACCAGCAATCCCAACATGGAAGCAGGCTGGGACAGGACAGTCACAGTTGAATAATTTAGTGATACCCAGGTTGGGAGGTAGCTTACAGAAGGAAGGAAGAGAAAAGGGAAGGAAAAGGATTCTTGTTCAAAGCCTGGCATGGTGGTACACACCTTTAATCCTAGCTATTCAGGAGGCTGAGGCAGGAGGATCTCAAGTTCAAGTCTAGCCTGGGCAACTTAGCAGAACAGTTCAAAAATCAAAAGGGCTGAGAATGTAGCTTGGTGGTAGAGTGCTTGCGTAGAATACAGGAGGCCCTGGGCTCCATCCAGTAAGCCTCTCAAAAGAAAGGATTTGTATTCAGGGACCACTGTGCAAGTGGCCATATGCCCTGGTAGAGGCTGAGAGCTTGCATGGGGACAAAGGTGGCCTAGGCTCTCTGTGGCTGGAGGCTGCAGCTGGCTTTCTCTGGTTTGCCCCACATCGGAAGAGGAGACAAACCAGGTGAAGTTTGTGCAAGGAGCAACTGGTTGGCCTGAGTCAGCACTTCCTGTGCAAAGCAACTGCCTGTTTTCAGTTGTGCTTGCCAGGAAATGCCCAGCTCTACCCTACCCTGCCCTGCCCTGTGAGTCTGGTAACTGCAGAGCCAGCAATGGTAGAAGAAAGAGCTTCCCTGGTGACAGGTGGTGGGTGTGGGATGCAGGGCCACCACCCAGCCCAGCTCTCTAGGGGTTGCAAATTTGACACACGTGGGGCTTCCAGGTTCAGTCCCAGCCAGGTGACACCAGGGTGGTCATTAATTCTCGACGGAGTCGTTTCTCTTGTCCCAGGGGCCCAGGTGGCCTGGCATCCCTGGTCCCCTGCCCTGAAGGAAGCTTCCGTCTGGAGGCGGTGGTGGGTTTGACGTCCCCCTTGTGGTCTCTTGCAGGCGAGGCTGGTGGCCATTGAGTCACGGGGTGGGAAGGAGGTAGAGCAGACTCCCTGGGGTAAGGGGTGAGTCACCCAGTTACATGGCTCCGTGGGTCCAAGCTGCCTTCCTGCTGGGCCGGGAACAGAGAAGTGTTCCCAAGCCTGATGGGCAAGGCTGCACCCTTATCCTGGGTGTGGACCTGGCCCTGGGCCTGCTGAGCCATAGGCCTGGCTGCAGCAGTGGGCTGGGCTCTCAGCCTTGGGATTGTCCTGTCTACTGTTAGAATAAGCTGGTAAGCCTCACGTGTGGTCTGTATTACTGGTCACCGCCCCCCCCCCCGCCCTGGAAAAGATTTTCAACTCTCATTTTTTGGTACCAGGGTTTCACGTTCTGTGAAGCACAGGGTAAAGACACCCTGTCTCCCAACCATTACCCTGTCCCATCTCAAGGGCCTCGAACATCACTCAAATTTGAAATCGGTTCTAGAACATCAAAATGTTAGCTGAGCATATGGCGCACGCCTGTAATCCCAGTACTCAGGAGGCTGAGGCAAGAGGATCGTCACGAGTTTGAGGCCAGCCTGGGGCATACAGTGAATTCAAGGCCAGCCTGAACTACATGGCGAGACCCTCTCAAAAAACAACAGAAGTCAGAATTTTAAAGTCAAGCTATTTTGAAATCTCACTTGGGAAACCTGGTTTTCCCAGCAGATCCCAAGTTGCATTCATTTATGCATCTGACGCTGCCCAGTAGCCTCCCTTCCCTCAGCCCCACGGGCGCATCTAGTTCTGCCCTGCCAGCAATTTGGGCAGCTGACTCACAGACCTGCTGCCTTTGTCCTCACTGCAGAGCTGTCACCACGAGGACCTGCTGACGAGCAAATTCCAGCCCAAGAGACCGGCTGGGAAGGAAAGAAAGATGAGGTGCTTTCTTCCAGAGTTAAGGCCTATGGTCCCCACTGAGCAGCTGTGCTGGATTGATCCAGAGCTCACAGAAATCCAGAGAGGTCAGGTGGGGTGGGGTGGGGGTTGAGACGGTCTCCAGTGTATTCC